GCTGGCCCCTGGTGGAGGCCGGGGGGCACTTTTGGATCAAATTCGGCAGGGAATCCAGCTGAACAAGGTGAGGACAGGCAGGATGAACTGGGGGTCCAGGACTCCAGGGTGTTCTGTGCAAGTCAGGATTTGGGGGGGCTGAGGCCAAGACTGATGGGAGTATACTTTGGGGGTTCAGTGATAGGGTTGGAAGATTTGTGGGGAACCTCACCAGGGATTGGAGTGTGTGGAAGGAGAAATGAATGCTCTTCTGGTAAGCCTGACCCCTCTGCACCCAACCCTGCTTACTGCAGACCCCTGGAGCCATCGAGAGCTCAGCCCTGCAGCCCCCACCTCAAAGCTCAGAGGGACTGGTGGGTGCCCTCATGCATGTGATGCAGAAGAGAAGCCGGGCCATCCACTCTTCTGGTGAGCCTGTCCTGCTGGGATGTGGGCTGATTCCCGGGCAAGCCCTGGCTGAAAACACCCTAAGTGCCGCTGGCGGCTGAACACTTGCCTAGCACGCCCATCTTTTACAGTGATAACGTTACTGTGGGACAGTAACATAACCTGTCTTTGACAATAATAGCATTAATCACAAAGTGTACCCACAATTTTAACATTAACCCCACATGTTTAGTACTATTAACTTGAGCCCACTGTGCCATGATAATGTGTTTTTTTTTTTTTTTTTTTTTTTTTTTTTTTTTTTTTTGATACTGGGGATCGAACTTGGGACCTTGCACTTGTAAAGCAGGCAGCGCAACCACTGAGCTAAATCCCTGGCCCCATTAAAGAACCCTATATTGATTGTTGTTTTTGTTTTTTTGAGACAGGGTCTTGCTCTGTAATTCAGGCTGGCCTTGAACTCTCAGCGAGGGTTAGGATTATAGGCATATGCCGTCATGCCTGACTAAAGAACCTATCTTTGACAGTAATATTACTTTGGGGTTTTTTTTGGTACTGGAGTTTGAACCCAGGTCCTTTGCATTGAGCTACATCCCAGCCCTTTTGTAATTTTTAAATTTTGGGACAGGGTCTTAATATGTCACTCAGTTGCCCAGGCTGGGTTCAAATTTACAATGCTCCTGCCTTGGCCTCCCAGAGTGCTGGGATTACAGGTGTGTGCAGCCACACCCAGCTAATAACTGTGTCGACACATTTACATTAACTTGTTATTTGATGATAATATTATGTCAGCTTTTGTTTTTGGGTTTTGGTACTGGGGCTCAAACTTGGGCCCTTGCCACTTGCGCCGAAACCACTGAGCTAAATCCCCACCCAATAAGTCAGTTTTTAAATAATAATGTTAGCATTAATCTCCTAATGTACCAATATCATCATTAACCCATTATATGACTTAATATTAATCTCAATTTATTATGTTACAATAATATAATTAACTCCAACTTTGACAATAATATTACCATTAACCCTGCAGTGTGCCCCTAAGATCAATATGAATCCACTACATGACAATATTGTTAACAAATCTCATCTTTTAATTAATTAATTTTTTTGGTACCGGGGATCAAACCCAGGACCTTGTGCTTTTGAGGAAGGTGTGGCACTACTGAGCTAAATCCCCAGCCCTGTTTATTTGTTATTTGAGACAGTGTTTTACTATGTAGTTCAGGCTAGTCTTGAACTCAGTGTGTAGTCCAGGCTGGACTCGAAATCGTGGTGATCCTCCTGCCTCAGCCTCCCAAGTGCCGGGATAACAAGCCTGCGTCACCATGCCTTGGCCAAATCTCATCTTTTGACAAAGATGTTACCATTAACCCCATTATGGGCCAACAGTGTTCACATTAACATGTCATGAAGCTGGGCATGGTGGCACACTCCTATAATCCCAGCACTGGGGAGGCTGAGGCAGGAGGATCGCTATGAGTTTGAGACCAGCCTGGGCTACGTAGTGAGTTCCAGGTTAGTCTCAACTACATAGTGAGACCCTGTCTCAAAAAAAAAAAAAGTTGGGCTGGGGATTTAGCTCAGTGTTCAGTGGCCTGACTCACAAGCTCAAGGATCCGAGTTCGATCCCCGGTACCAAAAAAAATTCATGAAACAATAATAAATCACCCCACCTTTGCTGATATTTAAATTTGCCCCATTAAGTGGCAGAGGGTTACCATTGACTTTTTTTTAACTATTAACTCTTTGTGTGACAATAATAGCCTGACTAACCGTTTTTTGTTTTACAATGCTCTGTTGGCTGCAACTCTAACTAGAACCCAGACCCCAACTGTGATCCCTAACTTGCCCACAGCTCTCCCTCTAGTGGGAGACTTGAGCCTCCTAGGCTGAGTCCTCAACCCCTCTTCTCCTTCCAGACGAAGGTGAGGACCAGGCTGGCGATGAGGATGAAGATGATGAATGGGATGACTGAGCTGTCCCCACAGGCCTGTGGCTCCCCATGTGCCCCTGCCTCTGACCTAAGTCCACTGCAGCTCCCAGGGCACCAGTCCAGTGCTGTCACCTTGCAGCTGTCCCCCCACTCACCCTAGCAGTGCTGGGGGCCCTTTTTGTACAACATTTCCCAGTTCTCTTCATGCAAGGATTTTTAAACAAAAATAAAATAATTGTCTTTTTGTCTCTGTAAATCTAGGTTTGCTTACATTGCAAGTGTGGAAATTTGGGGTCCTTTCCCCCGAAAGATCCCTTTTATCCATTTAGCCCTTTTATCTAGCCTCACATGTATATGTTCATTCATTCATTTATTCCTTTATGTTCTAAGTCATTTAGCCTGTTTTTGTTTTGTTTTGCTTTTTTTGGGTACCGGGGATCAAACTCAAACTCAGGACCTTGCACTTTCAAGGCAGGCCTGGCACCACTGAGCTAAATCCCTGACCCCTATAGTCTGTTTCTCTTTTTTCCGTCCCCCCCGCACTTAAGAAAGGTTCTGGCGTGTTGCCTAAACTGGCCTTGAACTCCCAGGCTCAAGCATTTCCACAAACATTTACTTCCAGGTGCTATCTTAGGGGCTAGGGTAGAATGGGCGTTCCGCAGGATACAGACAAGGAATAAGAAATCAGTTAGTGAACTGGGTGTGGTGGTACTCTTCTATCCCTGCACTCCAGAGGCAGAGACAGCAGGGTTGCTGCGAGTTTGAGGCCAGCCTAGTGTGAGAACCTGTTTTTTTTTTAAGACAATAACAAAACAGAACTGCTCTAGAACTCAAATAATACACTTCAGAATCAGTTTCCTCATCTATGTAGAGGGAATAACTAATGGTTTCTCAAAGAAATTTTATTGATATTTTAGGAGGAGGAGGAGGTCTCTCTCTCTCTCTCTCTCTCTCTCTGTCTCTGTCTCTCTCTCTTTCTGGTACCAGCGATCAAACTTGGGACCTTGTGCTTGTGAGGCAGGCAACAGAACCACTGAGCTAAATCCTCGGCCCAATAACTATGTAATGGATTTCCAACTGGGATCCCACGAGGTCATCCCTCTTCCTCTTCCAGGAGTTTTTTTGTTTTTGTTTTTTGTTTTTTGTTTTTTTTTTTTTTTTCAGAAAAAGTAACTCAAATAGGCAACAGAACCACTGAGCTAAATCCTCGGCCCAATAACTATGTAATGGATTTCCAACTGGGATCCCACGAGGTCATCCCTCTTCCTCTTCCAGGAGTTTTTTTGTTTTTGTTTTTTGTTTTTTGTTTTTTTTTTTTTTTTCAGAAAAAGAGTAACTCAAAACTGTTTCTAGTATTCAAAGCTTTTTCCGAGGGAATAATTAGAAACTCTTGCTTTACCAAAGCCTAGGACCGAGGCCTCTATCCTTCCGGTTTCTGAAATCTGGCGGATTCAGAACCTCAGGTATCAGGCTGGGTGTGGTGACACAGGCCTGTAATCCCAGCTACTCAGGCCAAGGCGGGAAGATCACAAGTTTGAGACCAGCCCAGGCAATAAATAAAATGTGGCTCAGAGGTAAAACATTCCATCGCTGAGAGTTTGAGGCCAGCCTGGCTACATAGTGAGTTCAAGGCCATCCTGAGCGACATAGCGAGACCCTGTCTCAAAAACAAAAAACAAAACAAAACAAAAAGAGGTAGAGCATGCCACCAGTCCTGAAGAAAATAAAAGAAATAGAGGTCAGAGTGCACAGTCAGGCAACTTGCTCAGCCCTCTTTTTTTGCACTGGGAATGGAACCTGGAGTCTTCTGCACGCTGAACAAGGGTTCTACCACCGAGCTATACCCCCAGCCCTCATAGGCTATTTTTACCCCAAGTCTGTGAGGTGGGAATCAAGAACGGGCTGCATTAGCAGTGGTAGAGTTTTTGTTTTTTGCTACTGTTTTTTTGTTTTGTTTTGTTTTGTTTTGCTTGTTTTGGGGGAGTTACCGGGGATTGGACTCAGGACCTTGTGCTGAAGCAGGTGGCGGGACCACTATACTAAATCCCTGGCCCCAGTGGAAGACTTTTTGAACAATCAAGCTGGGTGGGGTGGAGTGTTGGGGGGAGGGAGGAAACCAGGCAGATGGAGTAGTTAGGGAGGAGGTGTAAGGGGCAGGAGCTGGCATTGCTCCTCAGGGGTTTCCAGAAGAAGAGAGAATTCTCCCAGAGCTAGAGAGGGAAGGAGTCTGGGCTTTCCCTGAATTTTCATGATTATCCCTACTCCACTCTCCACAGAGATCAGGTCCCTGGGTGGGTGGGCACTGAGTCCAAGAAGGACCTGTAGGTAGCACCTGTTCTCCATCCCAGTGGTTCACAAAAACCTTAGAAATTCGTGTTTAGGGAACCTCTTTGGCAGGCTTTGCCCCAGAAAGACCTCCCCTGTGCAAGCTTTGAATGTGTTTGAGTACTGGGTAGGGCCAGCACAGACCTGACCAGGGGCAGGCTCATGGTGTGGCACTGGTGGACCACTGGCCTGAGATGCATAAGGCCCTAATTTCCATCCTCACTACCATGAAAGGAAAAAGAAAACCAAATTGAGCAAGTTTCTTGACCTCTCTGGGCCTCAGTTTTCCAAATGAGGATAAAATGCTTACCTTCCAGGGATGGGGGGAGAATAATTAAAATAAATGATGTCAGCAAAGTGCCCGGCTCCTTGTGGGCAGCTATAAATGGTAGCTATTATTATCATTGTTGTGTTGTTACCGTTAATACTGGATTTTGTTGACTCTGAATCACCATCGACTGGAAAATGTATCATTATTTTATGTATCAGTAAGAAAGAGAAAAAAGTGTTGCCATTTAAATTATGACTCACTAGGACTTTGGCAGATGTAGGCTGATTTCAGAGTTGTTAAAAAATGAAATGTTTCTTGATCTCTGCATTCTGGTTGCAGGTGTTTGTTCCCTTGTGAAACTCATCACGTTGTGTCCCCGTGGTCTCTATACCCTTCTGTATGTATGACACAGCTCAATATGCAGTTTCCATTCATCAAAACAGGTCAAAACTTTGCACCTTGTGGGCCGGCAATTTAGCTCAGTGGCACCACACCTGAGTTGCAAGCACAAGGTCCTGAGTTTGATCCCTGGTACAAAAAGAACAAAACAAAACAAAAAAAAACAAACCTGTGCACCTTGTGATGGATAAAACCATGTCTTGTCCCTAGCATTGGGCAGAGCAGAACCTACAGTACGTGCTTCATTAATGTTGAACAAAAAGACACGTGGCTGGGAGTGAGACATAATTGTGACAGAGTGGCCTTTTATTGTATGGTCTCCTGAAAAAGGTGCTATTCACTCTCCAAATTGTTGAGATTGATCCATTCATCAAATGAAGAAAATGCCCAAGGCCACACAATTCAGTCAATGTGGAGCATGTGGTCAGGCTCCAGAATCCAGGCCTTTGCCCTCATTATATTATCACACTATTTGGGCAAGGCCAAGGGTTCTCCCCACCACCTGCAGAGTCCTCCACCTTCCTTCCACATCAAGCCAGGCAGAAGTCTTGTCTTCAATCATTCCCCTGGCTTGGACGGTCTCTGGGACTCCTAGGAGAAGGAACTCAGTACCTGCTAGAGAGGCTGGGAGTGAGTGAGGACCAGCATCCTACTGTTCTACAAAGAGGAAGGGAAGTGTTATGGCATGTGTTTATATGTCCCCTCAAACCCTCCTGCTATTTTGGAAGTGGCTAAATCTAGAGCGTGTGATTGATTCATGGGGCACTGCTAGTCCTGAGGGCACTAGGATGAAGGGTGTGAGTGCTGCCCACTCTAAGTAGTCTGGATAAGATGAAAGGGGCAGGAAAACCCGCTAAGGTCCCCTGTTGCCTTTGCTATCTTCTGCCACCCTGCCTTGGAGCCTTGGACTGAACCCTCTATGAACTGTAAGCTAAATAAACCTCTTTCCCTTTTAACTTTGGGTGTTGGCTATTTTGTCTCTGCGATGAGAGAAAAGTAAGACAGGAAGGAAAGGTTGCATAGTGGACTTGACACAGTTGAACATGGCCAGCAGGAATTAATGAACCTCAGAGTGACCAGCCATTTTCTCCAGGTGGATAAAAGGTAGATACAATATCTGTTTGGTTAACTGTATGACCATTGGGTTGACTGTAGCTCACAGAGTGACAGAGAGGGGGCAGTTTGAGGGACTGACAGAGCAGTTTCCTGATGCTGTGAAGCACTGAACTTCCGACTGAATGACCGCTCACCTAGGACTGGCTGGACTGGTGGCCTGACAGTGAAGAAAATAGGCAGCCTCCTGAGGGCCGTACAGGCTTGGGTGACTGGTGACCCATGGTGCTCCTGCCGGAGTGGGTGCCTGCCTGGGTGTTATAAATGAAAGACTCGCTGTGACTCGCTCCTGGCCTGAGGAACTGTCTGGATATCATTCTGTCTGGCTCTGGGTGAGGAAAGACTAAACGGAGGGAATTTCAGAATGACTCATCATTGTGTGTAGCTGCCCACTTGATAGTGTATCTGACTGAATTGCACCATGCTTGAGAGCCTGGCTGAGTATACTGACTGAGTGCTCGTGCATGGTATGGGTTGAGGGGTGCTGAAAAGGACCACCTGGCCAGGCATGGCAGTGCACACCTATAAGCCTAGCACTCAGGAGGCTGAGGCAGGAGGATTGCCACAAGTTCGAGGCCAGCCTGAGCTCCACAGTGAATTCAAGGCCAGCCTGAGCTGCATAGTGAGACCCTGTCTCAAAAAACCATAAATAAATAAATAGATAAAACCACCTGGCTGGCTGACAAGATGAGTGGTAGACTCAGCAAGTCACAGGCCAGCTGATTCACAGCAAGATCCATGTAGCTGCCTGACCCTGGCTATAAGTGATTACAGACTGTTTGCCCTGAGAGATCCCAAGCCTCTCTGGGAGGCCTAACAGATCACACAATTTGACTAATTTGATCCATGGTGGGACTGAGTTGCCTGAGAAATGACAGAAAAGCTGTAAGAATCCAGAATGACATGAAGGCAGTCATCTTGGTTGTAACTAACCTCTTGTCAGCCAAATGACCCTGGGATGCATTCCAAACACTATAGGGTAAAGAAAGTAATTAAGATAAGTCAGATGAGCATTACATGCTGGCTAGTGACATTTGACATATTAATAGTTTGGTTTTTGAAAAGCACATGTATATTCTGCTCAGCCACACCCATCTTTGTCTAGTTTAACAAAATAAACCCCTTCCTCTTGTCTTGTTGTCTTGGGGTGTGAGAATGCTCCTGTCTTTTGGGGGGGTTTTCTTTTGTTTTGTTTTTGGTTTTTTGTTTTGTTTTTTGAGACAGGGTCTCACTATGTAGTTGAGACTGACCTGGAACTCACTATGTAGCCCAGGTTGGTCTCTAACTCACGATCCTCCCGCTTCAACCTCCGGAGTGCTGGGATTACAGGTGCGCGCCACCACACCCGGCTCTTGTTTTGTTTTTTGACACAGGGTCTCACTATGTAGTTGAGACTGCCCTGGAACTCACTAAGTAGCCCAGGCTGGTCTTGAACTCACAGCGATCCTCCTGCTTCAGCCTCCCGAGTGCTGGAGTTACAGGTGTGCGCCACCACGCCCGGCTGAATGCTCTGGTCTTGATGCCACTCAAGATCTGTTTCTTTCAGTTCACTTTGCAAAATCACGGATTTGTCTCTTTCTTCGACCTTGCCACCTTTCACCTTAGCAGCGGGTTCTGGTACTCGGGCCTTACACCCTGGCTGACTCACTGACAGATGGCCAGGAGGTTTCATTTTATTTCTGGTTGCTCGGATTATTTGCTCAGAGAGCCTAGCTGGGTGTGTATTGAGAAACTTTAGGGAACTGCTGTGACCATTCTACAATGTGACTGCCCCTAACAGGATTAGCATCTGACAGGGCTGTATTAGAGTTTGACAGTGACTACTTGTCCTGACCTAATCCCAGCTTGCCTGAGGGGATGGTTGAATGCTGTTGTTCCTGAGAACTTTCTTCCGGGGTGGAATGCAACTGGTCCCAGGGCGAGGGTAGTTTGAAGCTGAGAGCTGCTTGACTGGCTGACATGATGAAGGGCACCCTTTGAGGGAACGGCAGGCTGGCTGGCTAACAATACCGTATTTCCCTCACAGCACAAGAACGGAGGACACAAGTGGATGTTACTATTGACTGACGGAGACTATGAATAGGGAGGCAGGGATCTGAATGGACGCCTGTCTAGAATGGATGGACTCGCCTGATTTGAATGAGAGACCAACAGAGCAGCTAGCTATATATGGCGCTAGTCCACCCTGGGAGTACGGCCTACTTGGGGTTAAAATGTGATGACGGACTGACTGACGGAGATAACTGGGGGTCTGACAGGACGGAGGATCCCCCTTATGACTGGCTGAGAACGTGATTGGCTACCGGTGTGACAGACCGGCATACAGGCAGGACCTCAGGCAATCTCAGCTACCGCCGCGCCGCCACCGCCGCCTTCGCCACCCAGAAGCACTCTGGGAAAGTGCGGCGAACACAGCCTCCGGGACCGAGCCGGTTGGCGGGGAGGAGTTCGGTCAAAACTCGCCGGTTGGTCCGCCCAGGCGAGGCAGGCTGCAAGGCGCGGCCAATAGGCTGCGCGTTCCCGGCCACGCCCGCGCGAGCTCTCTTCTCGCGAGGCCGGCTAGGCCCG